ATTTTTCAAGACGAAGAAATGCACATTGATTATCATAATAGAACATTTGAAGACGCGGTTAGATATTGTAAGAAAGATAGAAATTGATATTCAAAACATCATCCTTATTGCAGATGTGATTTTTTTGATTTAACAAAAATATGTGACAAGTGTGATAGAAGTTGTTTGGAATTTCGAATATTCGCGCGTGTTGATGATAAATCTGGACCATTTGAATTTGGAGAACTACCAACGAGTCATAATGCTGAAGGTTTCAATCAACATTTAGAAGAACAAAAAAAAATACGTATACAAACAATTGAAGATATCAAAGAACAAATCAAACTGATAAATGAAATTGTCATTGATGCGTTTGTTAATTCAGGAACTGCGCCGCATATTATCAATGAACTTTACAACACGATCCATGATAGTCAAAAGAAATCATTCAAGAGATGTTTTACTCCTTGCAACATTTATATTTATGGTGACTCTAGAATGGAAAAAGATTACTTGACACAAATACTTTTCCCTGACATGTATCACAAGTCACAGAATAACGGCAAGTAGTTTGAAGGTTATAATGAAAACAAAGTTTTTGTGTTTGATGATTTTTATAATCATAACATGGAATTCTCGACTCTGTTGACATTAATCGATAACAAACCACATACTGTGCAGAAAAAAGGTGGGCATCTGAACTTTTGTTCGTTTATAAATATATTCACATCAAATACATCTTTGCGAAATCAATATGTCTATTTTGAAGATACCCTATATTTTGGAAATGAGACTGTTAAAATAGAAAACAAAAGAAAATATTCTTCAATTTATAATCGATTTGACTATATTATTGAGTACAAAAAGTTTAGAAATGATGATGTACGCCCTTGTGCATTTGAGTGTCTTTGTTGTTTAGTAAAAAGAATTTTTCATAAAGGCTTATATGAAAATTTTGTCAATCTTCGATTTGATATTGAGTTTAACTCTGGCTTAACGCTCAAAGAAATTGCTTATATAGTTGAAGGTAATCCATTTGAAGAAAAAAATGGAATCAAGTATTATAATCATAATTTTAATTCACAAATTGAGAAATATGAATTAACAAACCATAGAGTAGAAAATAATTTAGACGTAGATACAATCGTGTATCCGGAAGTAAAAAAAAAATTAGAAAATAGATTATGTAAAATGAAAAGAAAAAGATTTCGATTCAAAGATTACAAAGAAGACAAAATTGATTATGAAATTGAAGAATTGGATAATAATGATGAAAAATATGATTCAGATTCTTCGTTATCTTCTAATGATAGTGAGGCAACAAGACGTAGAAAAAAAGGAAAAGCTGTTTCATAATACTTAAATAAAATTTATTTTAACAAGAAATTAAGATTCTATATCAAATAAAATATTTGAGTGAAGAATTATACATTTTTATGTTCTGAATAAATTTCTTCATCATCTTTAAATAAAGTATCAAAAATTTCTTGTTGATTATTCGGAATTCTTCCTGAATTTGTACAGTAACCAATCAGATAAAACATTAAAAAAATACGTTTAAAATTACCTTTTTCGGTCTAGGCATTTTTAAGAAATTTGATTGGTTGCAAAAAAATGTCTAGGTTCGCAGCCAATAAAATTACGAGTTGAACCTAGACTTTTTTTTGCATTCTGATTGGTCAATAACATAGTTTTTCCGAACCTAGACATTTTTGCCGCAGCGAACCTAGACAAAAAGCAGCAATCTGATTGGTCAACTTCATTGAACCTAGACACTTTTAAGCAATCTGATTGGTCAGTTTCAACGTCAGCCAATCAGAATGCTGCTTTTTGTCTAACCTAGCTAAAATTGAATAATTTTATTTTTAGTCAAAAAATAATATTAATCATTCAAATCTGTAAATCTGTAATTCGCATTCCATAGGTAATACTAAAAAACGCTGTTTTTACCTATGGAATGCTTTTTTAAGTTGTAAAAAAAAAATGTATAATAAAAAATTTAAGAAGGATTAAAAACGATTAATCACGAATCTATACTAAAGATCTGCAAAGTATACGAACGAAACTTCATCAAAAAATGAACTATTTTCGTGAATATTTGTTCGATTGACTTGAAATTTTACATACGAATTCTTCAAAGTCATCTGTACCAAATTTACTATCATCGTACAGTATGTTTAGTTTATTCGTTATGGTCAAATTTAATAAAAACGTTTTATACAAAAAGTTAGAAAAAGCCGTCAAACTAAAAATCGTGTTTTACGAGAAATTTTATTATGTGAATCGACTTTGAGTCAATAATAAAAGTTGTTCGTCTAACAAAAAAACTTATAG